AAACCACTTAATTAGGAGAACAGAAAAACGTCTCAAAATAAAATTTCAGTTGCGCACTGTAAGCATTCCCAAAACGTAATTAGTTGCTTGAAAGAAAGGAATGTTAAAGGGTATGTAGATTGATAAATGGATTGCATCAGAATACCTTGTGAAGGCTAACATTGACCCTATAGCTCTGTGACTGTATGAACTAATTTCTGTGTGGACCTTCTCTCCATCATAAGGTCAGAAGTGGGGCTGTTCACTGATTTTTTTAAAAATTCATTCAAGGGATGATGGTATCACTGGCTAGGCCAGCATTTATTGTCCATTGTAGAGGGAAGTTAAGAGTCAACCACATTGCTGTGGGTCCGGAGTCACGTGTAGGCCAGACCAGGTGAGGGTGGCAGTTTCTTTTTCCTAAAGGACATCAGTGAACCTGATGGGCTTTTCCTGACAACCCACAATGGATGGATGGTCATCATTAGACTCTTAATTCCAGATTTTCATTGAAAAACACCAGTCATGACTCCTCAAATACTGAAGAAACATCCAGGCTTAGGCTCACCAGTGACATTATCAACAGGTTACCATTGACCAGAATTCGTCACATAAACACAATGGCCACAAGAGCAGTTCAGAAGCTAGGTATTCTGTCACTAGTAACTCACCTCCTGACTCCCCAAAACCTGTCCACCATCCACAAGGCACAAGTCAGGACTGTGATAATCCTCACTTGCCTGGATGGATGCAGCTCCAACAACACTCAAGAAGCTTGTCCACATCTAGGACAAAGCAGCCCACTTGATTGGCACCACATCCACAAACATCCACTCCCTCCACCACTGAAGCTCAGCAGCAGACAGCACCATCCACACCCATGAGCACTTCCAGCTAGAAGGAAAAGGGCAGCAGATACATGGGAACATCATCACCTGCAAGTTCCCATCCAAGTTGCTCACCATCCTGACTTGGAAATCTATTGCTGTTTCTTCACTGTTGCTGGATCAAAATCATGGAATTTTCTCCCTAAGGGTACTGTGGGTCTACCTTTAGCAGGTGGACTGCAGCAGTTCAAGAAGGCAGCTCAGCACCACTTTCTCAGGGCAACTAGGGATGGACAATAAATGCTGATCAGCCAGCGACGTCCACATCCCATGTGTGAATAAGAAAAATTAGACCATAGTTTAAAAATAAAAGGGTTTACAAAGTGAACATTGGTCCTATAGAAAGTAACTGTAGAGAATTGATCATGGAAATTAAGGAAATGACAGATGCATTGAAGAGGTATTTTGCATCAGTCTTCAGAATACAGGATATAAATAACATTCCATCAGCAGCTATAAATCATGAAATGGGATGGAGTGAGGAACATAGGAAAATCACAATCATCAGAGAAATGGTGCTAAGTAAATGTTGGAGCTGCAGGCTGACAAATCCTTGGATCCTGATGGACTTCTTCTTTGCTCTGAAAAGAAATGGCTGGTGAGATAGTTAAAGTGTTGGTTTTAATTTTTTAAAAATCCTTTGATGTGGTGAAGGTCCCATTCAATTGGAACATAGCAACTACATCTTCCTTGCTCAAAAAGGGAGGGGGACAGAGACCAGACACTACAAGCCCATTAGCTTCATGTCTGTCTTGGGGAAAATATTAGAAGCTATTAAGTTAGAGCAGGGCATGTAGATAAGTTTAAGGCAATCAGGCAGAGTCAACAAGGTTTTGTGAAAAGGAAATCATGTTTGACCAATCTTTCGGAGTTCTTTGAGCAAGTAATAGGTGTTGTGGACAAAGGGGAATCAGTGGATGTACTGGACCTATATTTTCAGCAGGCTTTTGATAAGGTTCTACATCAAATATTATTGCAGAAAATAAAAGCTCACTGTATAGGAGGTAGTGTATTAGCATGGAAAGAAGTTTGGCTGGCAAACATGAAGCAGAGAATTGGCATAAATTTGTTTTCAGGTTGGTGAGATGTAACAAGCGGTGTTTCACAAGAATCAGTGATGGCATTTGCATGTTTACAATTTATAGCAATGACTTAGATGAAGGGATGGAAGGTGTGGCTGCTGATGACGCAAAGATGAGTAGCAAAGTCAGTTGTGAAGAGAACACAAGTTACAAGTAAAATAGATTAAATAGTGGACAAAGATGTGGCAAATGGACTATAATGTGGGGAAAATGTGAAATTGTCCACTTTGACAGGAAGAATGAGGAAGGAGTAAGAAAGAAACATATTATCTAAATGTTGAGAAATTGCAGAGCTCTCTAAAAGGGAGGGATCTGGGACCTAGTGCATGAATTGCAAAATGTTAGTATGCAGGGAAAGCTAATAGAATGTTATCATTTATTGTGAGAAGAATTGAATATAAATGTAGGGAGATTATGCTTCAGATATGCAAGCCATGTTGAAACCACAGTTAGTGTACAGCATTGGTCACCTGATTTAAGTAAGGATATAAATGCATTGGAAGTGATTGAGAGGTGGTTTACCACACTGATACCTAAAACAGTGGCTTAATCTGCGAGGAAGGTTGGTTAGACAAGGCTTGTACTTGCTGTGGTTTAGAAGGTTAAGTGGTAACTTCATTGAGATATCCTGAGGTGTCTTGAGAGGGTGAATGTGGAAAGGACGTTTCGTCTTATGGGAGAACTTAGAACTAAAGGTCATTGTTTACAAATAAGGAGCCACACATTTAAAACGGGGGAGCAAGCAAAATATTTTCTCACTGAAGGTCATACATCTTTGGAACGCTCTTCCCAAAGGGCGGTGGAAACAGTCTTTTGAATATTTTTAAGACAGTGTTGGATAGATAGCAAGGGGTGTAAAGGTTGTAGGATATGGGCTGGAATGTTGATTTGAAGTTACAATCAGATAAATCACTATCTCAGCAGCAGGTTTGAGGGGCTGAATGGCTTACTCCTGCTCCTTGTTTGTACGTTCGATGCCATTTCTCTTTGACTATTTAAAGACTCAGTTTAGAAAAGAAAATGCAGAGTATGTTTGGAGCTTGTAAGGGTGTAGGTTGGGATGATTGCCAGGAGAGCAAAGTACATCAAGTCATCCCTCAATGTTTTGCTCAGTCTATAAAGCCTTGTTTCCTAGCAATGGAAAAAAGAGAAACCAAGTTCCACAACAAAGCAAGCTTGAAGTGGTGCAGGAACTTAGCATCAAGAATGCCATCTTGAGGTTGTGTCCAGTACTGCGGATGCCTGGTTGGGCAGGGTGAGAAAAGTTTCAGGTACCCCTACATCTTGTACTGTAGCCCTTCTCACTCTGCCTTTTGACAATCCTCACACAAACTTCACTTCCATCAACACCTAATGTTCTGTCTGAATTAATGTCTTCTCACAATCACTCCCTCACATTCTCATCACTTCATCTAGCAGTCCACTCACCCCAATTGTCATGTAATCTGCTATCGCCTCAGACAGTTCCCCAATTCTCAGTACCTCTCCTCAACATGGCACTATTGATACATTCCTCAACGTGCACGCCAGAACTACTGTCTGTCTGCCTAATTGTACCCTGGAGGAGGTTATGGAAATTAGGGGCATATCAGACATTGGTAGGTCAGAGTTATATTCTGGATGTATCTACATCACCCTGACTGCAGAGGTTCAAGAAAGAGGCTCACCACCACTTCTCCAGGATAAATAGGGATGGGCAATAAATGCTGGTCTTGCAAATGATGCTCACATTTCATCAACCAAATAAAAACGTATCTTCCCCATCATGAAATCCCCCTCCCCACATTTTCTCCAAATGAAAGGAAATGCAGTGAACTCCATTGAAACCCTTCTATTCTTTGTAAAGACACTGGACTGAATTTTTTGCTGGGGGCATTGTCCATGCTCAGAGACTGAAAGTCAGGGCTGAGCCCCCAACTCGTTTGAACCAGCATATTCCTTAATGGCTTCCAGGGTGCTTGTTGCCTTCAGCCTCTGGGATCTACTGGCCAATCAAAAAGCTAGGAACTCCCTGGTCCCAGAATGCCACTGGGAATAATGTGGAAAGCAGCAAGTTCCAGAAGGAAGAGAGCTGCAATGAAATCCATACCTGAAGGTAAATGGGGAGCTTTGCTGGGGGTGGTCCCTATGAATTGGCTCTGAATTGGCTGGTGTTAGATAGGGTGGGGTTAGGGGCCAGTGAGGGAAGACCTGGGCATAATACTTTCTGAAGTCCTCCAATTGGTACCAGGCATACCATTTACCCACCCACCACCCTGTCAACTTTCACTGGACACTTGGTGCTACGTCTCCCTGTTGCAGGTAACATCCCAGCAGTGATGGAGAGAAGGCCCTTGAGTGAGCATTAATTGGCTACTTAAGATGCTCAATTAGTCTGGTCTAACCCAGTACCACCTGTGCCACTTTTTGCAGGAGGGGATGGAGTGAGGATGGATGGATAGATGCCAAGAATATCACCATTGGCATGGCACCCAGTTTTACTGCCTGTGGGATGGTGTGTAAAATACAGGCCGTGTAACTGATCTTTTGAGTTTGATGCTGAAACCGATATTTTGCTAATATTTCCTCACCTCTATTCTTTCTTCCCCACCCCAACCCCAGTTTTTAGCAGGCAACGTATAAACAGCACATGTAGGAAATAGGCTCTGGACTCACCGCTATGAAATGCATTGCTGACTGACTTGCCCCTTCCCCTACCCCATGGCCTGTGGTGAAAGGTATTGGACATCCCCTCTCAGCAATGTGAACTGAGGACACCAAATCTGCAGTTTGAATGGGGCACAGGAGATAGAACCTTCAACATTTCTAATAACATCTTAACTACTCTATCTCGCTCAGCAACAGATGGCATGTTACACCTTGACTAGAATCTTGAAGTCACTGGTGACTCACTAAAGAAGGAGGAGAAACTATTTAAGTGGTGCTTTCTTTGTTTGGATGTTGCAAGCACGTCCTACAGAGGCCAATGAAAACTTCCATTTAGATATTCTTTAAAGTAAGCAGTAGACAAAGAGTATTTAATTGTATTAGTGTTGATTTCTTTTCATTTCAGATAGCTCTGAAGAAGAACGATGAGATCTCCCTCGTTGTTGATCCTGCTTGTTGATTGCATTTTTGTACGTGCAGCTTTCTTAGAAGGGAACACTGACCCATCGGACATCTGTCAGAAATGCAACTCTCACAACTTCTGCAACTGCTCATCGGTGAAGCTAGAGAATGTTCCACGTGTAGCGGAAAATGTACTGGGGTTTGATCTGTCTCATAACAAGATCTCACAGATTAAGGACACTGATTTCATAACATATGTGAAACTCAAAAGACTTCTATTGCAATCAAATCGAATCCACTCCATTTCGGAGCAGGCACTCCAGCATAACACAGACCTGGAGTATCTTGACTTATCGAATAATCTTTTGACACGCCTGTCACCGCATTGGTTTGAACATCTTTCCAAATTACAATACCTTAACATTTTAGGAAATAATTACACAGATTTGGGATCGGGGA